ATGACATGGTCAAGCACGCATGTGAGCAGCTGCAAACTACACGTCTACCTAAAATTAGTTATACCATGGCTTAAATCAAGAATAAGTAATCATTACATGTATCAAGTACAAGTGTTATCCAAATTAACTCTCATTAGTACTATTGATGATCCTGTACATGTATTTGCACAATACATGGTTAATATTTCTTGATGCATCAATTCTTCTCTACAAATTCCCGCAGCAACGCGCGAGGTGTCATCTAGTTTCATTAGCTAGTGGGTACGGTTAAATCCACCGGCCACAGCCCCACTTACCATCAGGAGTTAAAAAATCGAGAAGAACCATCAGGAGTATCTTTGATTTGCACAAAATGGCGAGTAATAGGCGCTGGTTTTGGGCGGGCCGGCCCGCAGCCATCTGATTCGGTTGACAGGAACCGTCCGATGGCCCGTCGTCTTCGTCCATGGACACCAAGGATCACCTGCATCTCGTATGGGAGAGTATCAGGTGATACCACATCCTAAATTCTCTCATGATACCAACCTTGAAAAATCAAATTTAGATGTTTCAAAAAATTCCGAAGCTTTTTGTGTATGTCCACAACATATGTGACTACAACCCCTAAAAAAGCCAGATCCAAATTCGAAAAACACATTGAGAAACAAAAAATGACAAATCTAGCTTGAATAGTGTCACAAAAAGACAAAAGACAAATTCACACTATTCACATCTGGATTTGTCTTTTTTGTTTCTCAATGTTCATTTCGAATTGGAAGCTGAAATTTTTAGGGGTTGTAGAAACTTACCTTATGAACATTCATGTTTTTTTCAGAATTTTTTGAAACATTTAAAATTAAGTTTATTGAAATGGTATCATGGGAGTATTTAAGGTCTGGTATCACTAGATATTCTTCCCTCGTCGTCCCTTTCATCTCGCCATCTGCACACGTTCTCCCGTTGCCATCCCCTCGCCGGCCGTCCTCATCTCTCGTCGCTGCCCTCGCTTGTTGTCCTAGTCATGACCCTCGCTGGCCATCCTCGTCACCGGCTTCGCCAATGCAACAACTGCACCTTGCGGTTGCAACTCTGGTGGCGACGGCCGCAGCTCGCCAGCATTCTCATCGCCGCTCATGCCTGATGTCGTAGCCTGTGGGGCACACCTCGCGATTGCAACACCTCGCTCGCCTCGTTTCAGCAAATTCAAGCGTCGGTTCCAGCAAAAAAACATCTTGTCGCTGAGTCATCGTGGCTCGCCGGGCTGCCGGCTACAGCTTGCCGCGTTGAGGGTTGTAGCAATTTGTGGTGATGGTTGAAACAGTATGCATGACACCGATTGTAGCAAAAAGTTCGGCGGTCATGCGATGTAGCAAAACATGGCGTCAGTTGTAGCCAGATGAGACATCGGTTGTAGCAATTTATGACACCATTTGTAGCATGTTGTAAAAAATACAGCGACCGTGCAATGTAGCAAAACGTGGCACCGGTTGTAGCTGAGCGGGATGTCGGCTCTAGCAAATTGTGACACCGGTTGTTGCATGTAACAAAAAAACCGCAACGTCTGCGATGTTGCTTGGAGCAGCGCCGCCATACTCGCAGCTCGTGGTCACCATGCTCGATGTCCATGATGGCAGCTCTCCCGTACACCAGTTGTAGCTCTGTCCATCCATTATTTCCAGCTCCCCGTCGCCATCTGGTTGATGCATGCTCCAATGTCGAAGACATAGCTCGCCATCCTCGGGTGACCAGCAAGGATGCAAAATCATGCGGTCCTGCCGTTCCCGACGCCAACGACCTTCGCAACCACATCAGGCACGGGGCATGCTTGTCCAAGCAACGCCGTCGCCAGGGGTGGCTGCAGCCATGGTCTGGCGCCGGAGGTAGCGGCCATGGCCTGGCGTCAGAGGTAGCGGCCATGGCAGGAGCGGGGGAATATGTGTGGTTGATGATGATTGGGAAGAGATAAGGAGGAGTGGGGCCTGCACGAGAGGTGATGTAATTGGTTGGATCAGATTTGATCCCACGTCCCGCTTGCAAACATTACCCCATTAAAATACTATAATAGAATAATAAAGAATTAGAATTGATGGCGCAAAATATTGTCAGATCTGTCGGTAAGGGTCCAAGGGCGTATGTGCTACTCTAATAATATAATATAAAGGGAGGAGTGATTTTGCCCATCTGTTACGAAATTGCCCCATAGTTACAAAATATTACCCACTGATGCCACCCATAAGTGACAAAAAACATTTCGCACAAGGGAATAACCTTGCCTGGGCGAGCCCATGCAGTAGGGACTCCTATACAGCGCTCGGCGGGATGAGAGAAGACACAACGCGCCCGTTTAGGCCAGCCCATGTGTAGTCAACCTGTTTTTATAACATGTTTTCATTTTTCATTTTTCATTTTTCTTTTTGATGAAAAACAACGACAAGCCGGTCACGCGGGCAAATATGGGTTGGCGCGTTGGGCGCATTGCCGACACAAAAATCAAAAACAGGGCGGACGCTGAGCGGGCAGCCGTTCGAAATGGACACAAAACGAACAAAGCGTGTGTCCGTTTGGGTCGTCGTGTTGCAGTTACTCTTAGGGTATCTTTATTTGCATAAAAATGGTGGGTGATAGGTGCTGGTCTTGGGCCGGCCGCCCCGCAGCCATCTGATTTGGTTGATGGGTACCGTCTGATGCCCCGTCGTCTTCGTCAATGCATGCATACGAAGGACCCCCTGCATCTCGTTGTCCCTTTTGTCTTGTCGTCCGCACACGTTCTCTCATTGCCGTCCCCTCGTCGGCCGTCCTTAGCCTGTTGTCATAGTCACTGTCCTCGCTTGCAGCATTGCCGGTTGTAGCAATTTGTGATGTTGGTTGAAGCATTGTGGCGGCCGTGCGATGTAGCAATTTATGACACCGGTTGTAGCATGTTGCAAAAAACACGACATCGTTTGTAACCGAGTGAGATGTCGGCTGTAGCAAATTATGACACCGGTTGTAGCATGTAACAAAAATCTGCAACGTCTGCGGTGTTGCTCGGAGTACCGCCGCCGTACTCGCAGCTCGCGGTCACCATGCTCGCTATCCATGATGGCAGCTCTCCCAAACACCTGTTGTAGCTCTGTCCGTCCATATTCCAGCATCCCGTCGCCATCTGGTTGATGCATGCTCCGATGTTGATGACGTAGCTCGCCATTCCCGGGTGACCAGCGAGGATGCAAAATCACGCAGTCCCATCATTCCTGGCGCCAACGACCTTCGCAACTACATCAGGCACGGGGCATGCTTGTCTGAGCAACAGCGTCGCCAGGGGTAGCCGCAGCCATGGTCTGGCACCGGAGGTAGCAGCCATGGCCTGGCGCCGGAGGTAGTGGCCATGGCCGGAGCGGAGGAAGATGTGTGGTTGACGGTGATTGGGGAGAGATAAGGAGAAGTGGGCCTGCGCGAGAGGCGATGTAATCGGTTGGATCGGGTTTGACCACACGCCCCGCGCGCGACCGACGCAAAACTCGGCAGGTTGGTCGGGTACAAACATTACCCCATAAAAATATTGTAATAGAATAATAAACGATTAGAATTGATGGTGCAAAATACTGTCAGATCCCTCGGTAGAGGTCCAAAGGCGCGTATGTGCTAGTCTAATCTAATAATAAAGGGAGGAGTGCTTTTGCCCGTCTATCACGAAATTGCCCTCAAAGTTGCATAATATTACCACCGATGCCACCCATAAGTGACAAAAAAAGTTTCGCACAAGGGAACAACCTTGCTTGGGCCAGGCCACGCAGTAGGGACTCCTATACGGCGCTTAGCGGGCTGGGAGACGGTGCAGCGCGCCCGTTTAGACCGGTCCATGTGGGGGGGGGTGCATTTTTATAATATGTTGTTTCATTTGCATTTATGTTTCGTTCTACTTTAAATAAATTGGGATTTCAAAAAAGTCCCAAAATATAATTGTTTTTGAGACTTTCGAAATTCAATAAATAACAAAATGTTTATGGATTCAAACAATGTTTTTAATTTTGTTTAAATCTTCGTGATTTCAAAAAACATTTGTGAAATAAAAAAATGTTCATGATTTAGAAAAAAAATTGTGCATTAAAAAATGTTAATGAAGTTGAACAAAATGTCTGCCAATTTAACAAGTGTTCATGAATTTTGAAAAATGTCCTAAGAATTCGAAAACTGTTTGTGAGTTACAAATAAGTTTATTGATTCATAAAAATATCCACTGATTCAAAAAATCATAATGCATTTCAAAACACGTTCGTTAAATATATAAAAAATCTTCATGAATTTCAAATATTGTTCCGGCAATTCCAAAAAATGTTTGTTGATTCTAAAAGAGTTTGCTGATTCAAAAACAAATGCTTAATTATTATTTTTGCAAACAGGATAAAATGTTCATGAATTCAAAACATATTTGCAAAATCATAAAAATGTTGACGATTTTAAATATGTGAACGAGCTTAAAAAATATTTTCTCTGCTATCTCGCTGGAGGCGATCGTACCCGTGTGGGTGGGCTTGTTTTTTGTGGTGCGCTAGGCTGGTTGGGCTTTCCTCAGTTGGTCCGATGAAGAGAGACCCATTTTTCGTTTTCTGCCGCCACTGCAGGGGAAACAGAGCCCGGCCGCGTCTCGGGAAAGGGAACAGCAGAGTTTTCGTTTGGAGCTCGTCCTCGGGTCGGATTCGGATGGATCGTTCCCTTTTTTTTCTTCTAACGGGGAGAGAGCGGAACGGGAAAAGTTCAAGGTTAGAATCTAACTCTAACCTCTAACTGGGTTAGAGTATCCAAACAGGGCCACACGTGTATATATAGTCTCTGCTAGTAATCCATTGATGTGCGTGTTCATGCTCGACGAAGTAGATTGCTACGGACGGGTTTCTTGATTCCGTGTCTCCTGCTGTTGGATTCCTTCTAGCTCTTGCCGCCAGCATGTGTCCTCTTTTACATACGTACTAGTCATCTTTCTTGCCTGATTAAACCAATCCTATATTGATTCACCAACCAGCCCTCAAAGTGAAGCTGCGATGTCGACAGTGCTTACTGTGGCGGCTGTTGCGGCGCTAGGGGAGACCGACCAGGTGGTGACCCCGTGGGAGGTGGCCGGCACGGCACAAGGAGGAGTCAACTACGATAAGTTGGTGGACCAATTTGGGTGCCAACGCATCGACGCCGCGCTCGTCGACCGCATCACGCGCCTTACATCCAGACCGCCGCATCGCTTCCTCCGCCGTGGGATCTTCTTTGCCCATCGGTACGTAAAACTCTATTACATTTTCCCCTCGATTTGAACGTGATTGTTTTCTTTATCCGATGATGAGTTCTGTTGTTTAGATTATTGAGTTGCTGCTGATGAGTTTTGTTGTTTCTTTACTTATTATTATTCAGCGATTTGAACCAGATATTGGACCTGTACGAGCAGGGGGGAAAGTTCTACCTCTACACGGGAAGGGGACCCTCCTCGGAGTCACTGCACCTTGGCCACCTTGTCCCCTTCATGTTCACAAAGTAATTATTAAGCATTCCTAGCTACTAATTTGTTTCTCTGATATCTTGTTTATATGTTTGTTGCATTACACGCTAAAAGTGTTGTGCGCCTGTGAAGTATATATATATGGGCAGTTATCTGCAAAACAAATAATCTTCTTTCGGGGATCCTTGTGTTAATTGATGACTATGGCTTCTTCATTGACCACAAGATGGCCTCCGTTTTGGATTCTAAAATGTTAAGTCTACATGGTTAATAGGCGGAGCAATTCATGGTATAAAATATGTGCAAGGTTCCTTACAGGATAGGGAACTTGAGAGTTTCAAACGTTTGTTGCACCCTTGAGTTGCTGCAGGAAATAACATCCCTTCATAATTCCGTCATCTATTCTGATAAGGATAATTGATGTTTATTAATCTTAGCGGTCGATGTTTGGCAGGTACTTGCAGGATGCCTTCAAGGTGCCTGTAGTGATACAGTTAACCGATGACGAGAAGTTCCTCTGGAAGGACTTGTCTATTGCGGAATCTAAACGGCTTGCCCGTGAAAATGCCAAAGACATCATAGCTTGCGGGTTTGACGTTGAAAGAACTTTCATTTTCTCAGATTTTCAATATGTTGGAGGGTAAGTTTACTGGTGTTAATTGTTGGTCTTAATTATGTTTATTTTTATTGTCAGTAGTAACTTAAATGCCTATGCTATTGCTGCATTTTTTTGTCCTATATACTAATGACCTCTATCTGGCAGTCCCTTCTATGAAAATATGATGCAAGTTGCAAAGCGTGTGACATTTAATACTGTAAGAACTTTGCAATCAAGACCAGTATTTTTGTTCAAGACTACTGCTTTATTTGTTTACTCAATATTATCATAATAATACTCTTGTGGTTTTGAATAATAGCTTAGAGGCACTTTCGGATTTACTCCAGAAGATCACATAGGAAAGTGTTGCTTTCCTCCTGTGCAAGCTGCTCCATCATTTGCTTCGTCATTTCCCCATTTCTTTGGGGTTAATGACCAGCCGCGGTGCCTTATTCCATGTGCAATAGACCAGGTAAGAACATATCTCTGGTATGATGACCTTTGTTTACTGCATAGTTTGTATCTTCTTTCTAACTTACTTACAGGAAACATAAAATACATAATTATATTCCGGCCATTTTCATGAAGATATTTCCATTTAAAGATTGAAGTGTGTCCTACCTATACGTTTGAAATTCCTTTTTTCTAAACGTTTTTTTAAGATAGAAAACATTCCTTGGTATTGTTGCATCAGCTATGCTCAGCAACATTTTTTAATTACTAGTACAAATGCCCGTGCGTTGCACCGGGCAAAAAATGAAATATAAGCTGCTCCACATGCCATTATGCAATATTTTTTAACTATTTTTTGCAAATGTCAGAAATATGGTTACACTGAGTATTTCTTTTTGTATGATGAAATTTGGACGTCATAAATAAGACTACATGTCCACTGATCTTCTAAGACTTCTCACTGCACTTGTTGAAAATTTACAACACATGACAACATATTCGGCAGCAGGGAAAAACAAGTAATGTTGTTATCGAACTACATGACCATGCTGTGCTCTGTATGAGATTTGGTATGTTTAAGAAAGGTATCTCTCAGCTGCATCCTGGGAAAATGAACAGATATTATCAAGTTGCCATACTAAATTCCTCATGACAGTAACCGATAATTATGCGTAAATTATTTACTAATATTTACAACGGGCATATTCGAGTGATTCATTAAACAGAGAACTACCTTCATCATTAACTTTGGATCCTTCAGGTTTCTCCTGAGCGCTTTAGTGTAATGCTTCACTGCTTCTGGGTATTTTTGCTGCTTAGGGAACTCATTAAACAGAGAACCTCATCATTAACTGCCCCAGACTATTAGGAGCAAAAAAGCAGTGTTAATAGTATAATTCACGCAGCTTACCTTTCTCTCGCTCCTCATCAGCTTTTTATGGATCATAATACTCTTGTTGCTTGAGCTCCTTCTTTGCTCGTTTAGCATCATTTAGTCTTTTCAGGGTACCTGGGTTTGATGCTCAGTTAGAGCCTTCTGGAATCAATGGCAACATCGTAGTCTTTGGAAGACTTGGCAAGTTTGACAAGAGCAGTTGCTTTCCTTGCCAGTGCCCTTGAGACCATCTTGAAGTCAGCACAGTTAGCATGAAGTTCTCTTCCCCTCTCAACAACCGTATCACAATCCTTAATGCAATCATCATACTGGTATTTGGAGAAACAGAATATTAGCTCTCAAATCACCAGAGGCATAAGTAATTCGAGAGGGCTCCCGATTCCAATAATTAAGTTAAAACATGTGGCAGTGAAAAATCATAGCAACACTACTGATTTACGAAATCTGCGGTCCATTCAAGCCTTGTAATATCATACAGAGCAAGTCCAAGCCCCCAAAAGGTAAGAAGGCAGATATATAGAGATAAATTCACTGTTGTTATTAAATATTGATGAATGTGTAAGGATCGCCTCGGCGATGAAATCACTCTAACTACCAGTAGTCTCTATCAAAAAATACTAATGTGTCTCTAAAACGCCCTCGCCTGTGCTCCGAGCCACCGCTGCTGATGACGCCTCCTGGCATCATTTTCTCTTAACTCGGTAAAATATGTTTCCAGTTGTACACATATGGTTCCAGCAGTGTGAATAATTTAAGACAGAATGATAAAAGCACAAGTGCTGCTATATTTAATCCTACAAAAACAATTCAAGACATGTTTGTACTGAATATGTTAAATGCTAATACCAAGAGCATACCAATTCATCAAGAAGGGTGGTGAATTGAGACAACGCTAGAAAGACAAAGCCTTTAAGATGTCCTTTTGAACATGAGATGCGGATAGTTTGTATTTACTGGATAGGCTGTGCTCCTGCCATTTATACCTAACAAATGATACAAGTTCCCCAGTTGCATCCAATTTTTTTAAATAAAGATGTCAGAGTTAAGTTATTTACAAGGAATACAAATCTGCATCTCAAACTCAAAGGTGCGGCATACAAGATTTTGTTCACTCACAGTAACACAACTTTTACAGAATTCATACAAAGAATTGACTGAATGGCACTCTCATTGAACAGGCATTATCAAACACGATCTTATAAGCACAGAACAAACTCACCTCCATCTATCTCTCTGAACCAGCAAAGACATCTAAGCAACAACCACCGCCACTGCCTGCCCCCGTACCACCAGCAACAAAAGTAGCCCGCCTAATGAGACATCACAGCTTCAAAATGTTGGGGATGGATGGTAAACAAGCAGAAATGTTATGTACCTCTGTAGTCTGCGCACCAGCTGCCTCACGAGACCGTGACACCTCACCCTTTGCTTCCATTTCCTGCACCACAACAGCCGTGTCCGTATCCCTGACCAGCACCTCATCGGCCTTCGTCTCTGGTTGATGCGCAGGATGCACCTTGGTTGTGTCTCGGACCACCACCTCCTCACTCTTCACCTCTGGTTCCGGCACCTCATGTGCTTCGGACACCACGACATCCTGCACCACGGCGTGCGCTTCCGTTCTCACATCCACCTTACCCTCTTGTTCCAGGTCAACAACTTCAGGCGGTAAAGCATCAACCATGATCTCCTCCCCGGCCTCGCCCATGCTGCCGTCATCAACGTCCTCGATAGCACGCTCGACCGGCACCTCCGATGTGCCCCCCTTCTTCCCCTTCTTCTCCTCCTCGGCCCAACATGGAGGCCTGCGTCGTCGAAGCTCCAGATCAAGGTTTTGTGGAGGAACGCGCCCCGGCTCCCAGCGGCCGCGAGGGCCTCCAGCGGCGTGGGATAGGGCCAGCGTCCTGCGGAGGTCGAGGGTCACCAGCCTTAATAGCTCCGGAACCACCCCTCCCCCTTGGCGATCTCCTTTGTCACGCAGCTGACAGCTCACCGCAGCTTGTGCATATACTCAAACACCTTGTCTTCGTCCCTGGCCTTCACGCTGACCTCAAGGAGCGGGGCGAGCTCGAGCTCTTCCGGCGATGCAGCGGAGGCCGCCATGTGGGCCTCGACCGCGTAGGCCTTGCCAGCCTCTCCGGCGCGCCGGAACGCAGCAAGCACGGGGCTGTAGGACCGGAGGCGCGGCACGATGCCGTACTTCTGCCGCATGGAGGAGACGAGCCTGAAGGCTTCGTAGGCGCCCTCGGCGTCTGCAGCGACGACGCAGGTGAGCGAGGTGATGGTGGCCTCAGACGGGGGCGCCCTGGCCTCCAGCATGCCGGCGAACACGCGCCGCGCGGCGGCGGCGGCCGGGTGGACGGGGAAGACGGTGCCGTCCACGGAGGCCAGCAGGTGGAGGAGCTGATTGTACTGGTGCGCGGCGAGGCGGAGGTCGGGCACCGCGTCCGGGCCGGAGACGGCCGCGTCGAAGGTTGCCATGTCGGCCACGGCGTCCCCGCGGCGGGTGTAGTCGGTGAGCGTGCGCCCCTTCCAGCCGGTGGATAAGATGAAGTAAGGAGCGCAAAATGCAGGGGTTAATTTGCAAAATCGAAACGTTTTTGCAGATCCACTTATGTAGGGACTGCGGGTTGAATAGCAAAAACTACAGGGACTTTTATGCAAAAGTGCCGACGACGGACGGGCAGAAGCACTCCGTGCTTTATTAGTAGGGAAAGATTGGTGGCGAGGGGTGGAGCATCGGTGGTGGCTAGGGGTAGCTATAGTGTCGGCGTGTGAGTGGGAGGGCGGTGGCTTGCAAGCAGGAAAGCAGAGATCAGCCTTTGTTGCGAGGGCCTCTACGGCTCGGAGTCGGTATGAGAGGAAGAGGTTGGTGGAGCAGGAAAGCAGGGACCAAGCAAAACAACAATGGTGCTGGAGTCTCAGCATGTGAGTAGGAGGGTGATGGCTTGAGAGCAGGAAAGCAGAGATTAGCAGTTGTCGCGAGGGCAGCAGTGTCTCGGTATGAGAATGGAGAGGTCGGTGGAGCAGGAAAGCAGGGCGCAAGCAGCTGTTACAAGGGATAGCAGCAGAGGCGGCACAGAGTGGAATGAGGAACAACACTGGTGTTGTGGTTAATTGCTACCAAGTACATAAGGTGAATGGGCCCCAGTGCATAGAAGCTCCTACACAAGGTGGGGTCTCGGAAGGGATTATAGGAACGTAGACTTATCCCTGCAAAGTGCAATGCAGAGAGGTTGGTTTGAACCTAGGACCTCTTGGCACAAATGGGGATGACTTAACCACTGCACTAGGCTAGCCCTTAACTAGATGGTCCCCCACTTGAAAAAAAAACAGCCGAGAGTTTTTTCTTCCTCATAGCTTGCCTCTCTGGCGTGTTTTCTCTGAAACATATGTGCTAGACGTATACCTATATGGTTGTTGTATTTTGAAAATTTTCCTTTCCCTTAGTCACATGTTCGGTAGACCAAGGGCAAATATATATTGTTGTTACAATCTTAATCAAAGTATTGGCATAAAAAAATATCTGCATGTTGGCATTACAACATATCTGACAGCAGTAAAGTAAATTTTTTGGCTCCCGACTTTGTGCTGTTCGAGTAATCGATTTGTACATATGGATTCAAATTATACAAAAAAATATTCTGTGAACTATTGTAATATAGACATATCTGGAATTTTCATTACTGTACATATGTGTGTTTAGTATGCAGGTTTACTTTACCTTCTGATTTATTTATATCTAATTTATGCAGGATCCTTATTTTAGATTGACTCGTGATGTTGCTCCTAAAATGGGTTATCCGAAACCTTCACTTATTGAATCAAAGTTTTTCCCTGCTCTTCAGGTACGTTTGGAATGCCATGGATTTAGGACTGAATAGAGCAGACCCAGTTAATAGCATTTAGTTAGGCTAACTCGCTGAGAGTTTTCTTTTTGTCTTTCATTATGGATTTGGTTTATTTCCCTTTTACAGGGGGAGTGTGGTAAAATGTCTGCCAGTGACCCGACTAGTGCAGTATATCTGACAGATAAACCTAAAGTAATTAAAGAAAAGGTTTGTCCTGAGCTTTTGTTTTGAATCGCATGCTATAGTTAGGCCATTTAATTACGTTGAAAATGTCATTGCTTTGAGACAAGCACCTTGTAATTCTATTATTTCAATGGCTTGTGATTTATTTCTACTGTTTTACAGATTAGGAAATATGCTTTCTCTGGTGGCCAGTCCACCACGGAGCTCCAAAGGAAATATGGAGCAAACCTCGATGTAAGCCATTTCCTTGGTTATTCATGAGCACTTGTTAATGAGTAGTAAACTAGTATGCCAAAATCATGCACCATAATTAATTATATAACTGTAACTCACAAGTTAGATTATTGATTTCCAATTAATTATTGTATTCTTACGAATTACAAAATCGATCATGTAATAGTTATTTTGTTTCATAAGTTAGATTATTTGATTATTGTATCCAATTAATCAATCAGCGGTGTTTCGGTTAATTATTATATTTCTTACGGAATACAAAACCTGTTGTGTAATTGTCATTTGTCTTCCAGGTTGATGTCTGTATCAAATATTTAAATTTCTTCCTTGAAGATGACGCTGAGTTTGAGCACATAAAGAAGGTAATATTATACACTGCTGCGTAGAAAAACTTTGCACAACGCACTTGCATTGAAACCTAAGTTGCCCTTACACTATGAAACTCGTTGTATCACCAGGAATACAAAGTTGGGAATATGCTAACAGGCGAATTGAAAGACCGTGTCGTTGGCGTTCTATCGAAGATAGCATTAGCACATCAGAATGCTAGAGCTCAAGTGACCGAGGAGGTATGCAATTTGGTTCTTAGTCTTTGTTTACAATTTGGTTCGTAGTCTTTTTTTAAAGATGGTGCACACATGGTTGTCTCTTAAAATGTTGTATTGCATCATTCTAACCACATTTGGAATAAACACTTAATGTTTGCTTCATCAATACAAATTTCCTCAATAAATTCTATTTTGTGCAGATGGTTGATGCATACATGTCTGCTAGTCCTCGTCCCAATATGTTTGGGACCCATTCTGATTATGTGAAATCGTAAAAGGTTTATGCTTTATTTAAGGGGCAGCGCTATTGCTTCCCATCAGACTATTCGTGAGCCCTACGATATATCTGATCTGACGTGGCTGCTGGCCCCTTAAAACGAGCCTGGGCTTCCACGTACAAAACCACCTTAAACAGCTTCCGCAAATCACATACTAATCTGGGCCACTAATTACCTGAGATAATTTGGTGAGATGCATTCTTGTTCCTTGGATTTAGAAGCAATCTGCGGCATGCTTTCTTTTTATTTTTTAGTTAGAAGCAATCTGCGGCATGTGTAACCTGGTGTTTTTAAGGGAAATGTGGCAATGATATTTTGTTTCAGAAGCATCACGATATTTCATCGGTCGACTAGAGAATTGCTTCGAACTGGCTTTGTTAAGAAATAAAATTATTTGACATGTTATAGAAGCATCACGATCTTGCTTCCTCGACTAGGCAACTAGAGAATTGCTTCGCACATGTTTCAGAAGCATCACAATCTTGTTTTCATTGGCAGAGACTTGCTTATAGGAAATATTATTTTGCTTCCATCAAAAAGAAAAACTTTGTTTAGGAAGCAAATATTGTTTCCATTATTATTATATATAAGCAAATACTCCCTCTATAAATTAATATAAGAGTGTTTAGATCACTAAAATAGTGATCTAACGCTCTTATAAGTTTACAGAGGGAGTATTATTTTAAGCTTTTAGATAGCAGATGGTCCTCTTCCTTAGGAAGCAAATACTTTTTCCATTATTATTTATAGATTTTCTTCCTTAACAGTAAAGAGTTTCCAATGTTATACCTAAATACACTGCTTCCACGGTGAATTAAACCGCTTCTGTCTATACCAAAAATTTGCTTCCATGGTGAATTAAATTTGCTACAACCTAAATTTCCCTCAAAACTATCAAAAAATTCTCTCCATCGGCTAATAATTCCTCTAACCCAATAAGACCTTTCCATAGAGAAGAACAATTATAATGAGTACGCATGTTTCAAACACATCAAGAATGTTTCCAATAAAAACAAATGGCATAAAGTTGCTTCCATGGACAAAAATAACATGAGGGACAAACAATTATGGTTCTGTGGAGAAACAATTTAAATTGAATACATGCTTCAAACAAATTGCCACTACTCCTACTAGCCTCCTACTCCCTCCGTCCGAAAAAGCTTGTCTCGATCTTACTCCTCAAATAGATGTATCCAGCACTAACTTGGTGCTAGATACATTCATTTAAGAGACACGTTTTTTCGAACGGCGGGAGTACTTTGCTTTGTGTAGGACCTCACAGCGTGGCCGTCAAGTGCTGCCTTAGGAGCAGCACCTCAAGTTGTGCATTATCTTGGAGATAGCGACGTACTACGAGCAGCACATCAGTCCGCTTCCACCGGCTCGAAGAAGTCGGTCGTCCCTGCCGTGGTGCTTCAAATGGCAGTAAAAGCTCCCAACGCTGTCCAAATCACCAATGAATTGCTTGAAGCAAACATTGTTCCAATTGAAGCACTAAAATGTTTCATTGGAAGCATATAAGCAAGATATGTTGGTTGAACTAGTGTGGTCCTCGGAGGGTGGGGTAGTTAGCTCCTGGTCCACAGGTCTGACGATTTGCTAGTATCAGACTGCAGATATAAAGTGTTTTCCTAACTGAAACCATCCCTTTATACGAAAACAGATAAGTCCTTCTACTAGGCTTCAAGTATAGTGCATGAAACCATCCCTTTAGCAAGTATGGCGCTAAAACTGGACAAGACTGTTAAACTCGAAAGAATCCGCCTCTACTAGACCTGGAGTATGGCACTGCATGAAACTAAGCAAGACAATTGTTAAATACTAGAAGGGGATAGACTCAACAGCTAGCATTCTCATCACCGATGCCATGAACATATCAACCAACAAAATCAGAATAATCAGCAGATAAGTACATATCATATTACCATCTGTCTTCTCTTCTCTGAACCGTAATAAAACACAGTCAGCCATGGCCAACAAAAGCAAATCTCAATCACTCAACAACACAAGAATACTCCAGAAAGTGAGGACAACTGTCTGGCTAATTCAACCAAGGAAAAATTGTTCACCCAGCCTCGCTCACCAGCCCACTAATTCAACCAAGGAAAACTTGTTCGCGCAGCCTCGCTCACAAGCCCTAGGGTAGGTGTGGCCTGCAGACAGCATGAGAACCAGGAGTGATTGATCTCCGAGAAGCACAACAACTCCGGTGCCATGAGAAACTGAGGCATAGGGTAACCTGCCATTTTGCTTGGCTAAAACTCCCACTGGTTCTACACTAATGACAGATCAGACCGTAATCAAACAGCGAGAACCACATACCAGGAACATAACTTCCATTGCAGGCTCATGTACGATTGTTTCCCCCCAAGGGGCCAGCACCCAGCAAGCAAAAAGAACTTCAATTTGCATGTAACGAAGAAGACTGAATAAATAATAGATCCAAAGTAGAACACAGAACAAATAGAAAGGAAAACAAGTTGCTTCATTCAAATTCAATAACAAGCAACATCAACTCGAAATCAATCGACAAAATCATGACATCTTCTATGAAGATTCTGAACAGTAAGAATACAACAGATGCAGCGGTGCAGGCACTAACTGACTCGCCAACTAAAAAGGTGAGAAAATAAATGTTCCCTAGCTCCTCCCGGCCAGCCATTTTAAAAGTGGCCAGCCAACAATGGAGAACCAGGATATCAATCTCCTTGCAGTATGACTCTAATGCCATGAGAAACAGAGGAAAAGGGTAACCTGCCAGTTTGCTCATATAAACTGTCACTAAGTACTGTCCACCTAGCCAAACCAGAAAAAAAATCTAATAGAGAAGTAACTTTGGTTGCTAGTTCAATTAAAGTCATTTTCACTAAGAGAAAGCCAACAAGAAAACTGGTGTCTCAAGCGCTCAATGAATTCGGCTACAAAAATAAAACCATTTTCCAGGACACTGCTGGGCAGTCACACACGCTTAGAGTAGACCACAGACATATTTTCCAGGTCAATGTGGGTCCAAAAGAATTCAAATTGTAAATACTAATGGAAGATCATGAGGTCACAGCAAAGCATCAGTAATACACAAGCAGTGGATTTTTTCTTTACACTTATGAACAGGGTAACATATCAGCATACAACATAAAGCATACAGTGGCATCATTTGATGTACCTATGCAGAAACTTGCGGTGAAAATCACTTCTGATGGTGTCGTTGATCTTGGTCTCTCCACGAGCCTGGCTCTTGAATACAATATCGTCGTCCCACCTCATCCCACCTGCAACACACACATGTATATGATTAACCTCACCATAAAGCATGACAGCTTTACTTTCTTCAAAAAGGATAGTCGCAGCATAAAAAGAAGCATACAATATAATACAGTAAAACAGTCAGCCATGGCCAATAACAAACAGAACTCAATCACTCAGCAGTAAGAATACTACAGGAGCAAGGAGGACCAACTGACTAATTCAACCAAGGAAAAATGTGTTCACCTGGCCTCGCTCACCAGCCCCAGAGTAAGTAGCCCGCAAACAGCACGAGAACCAGGAAGTGATGGTTTTCTAGCAGCACAACGACTCCTATTCCATGAGAGACTGAGGCAAAGAGAAACCTGCCATTTTGCTTGGCTAAAACTCTCACTACTTCTACACTAATCACAAATTAGACAGTAATCAAACAGCAAGAACCACAAACCAAGAACACAACTTCCAATGCAAGCTCACGTAAGATCGTTTCCCCCCTGGGGCCAGCAAGCTAATAGAAGTTCAATCTGTGTGCAACAAAGAGGATCAAAGAAATAATAAATCCAAAGTAGCATAGAGAAAAAATAGAGGAAAATAAGCTACTTACATCATTTGATAACAAACGACATTATCTCACCATCAATCGACTCAGCCTGGACTTTTACTTTTCCACCTATAGATAATTACACAAGCCTGGACTTTTACTTTTCCAATGGTTCAAGAACGTCCACCACCCATCTCAGACAAGCTTGAAACCAGCCTCCTGTCCAGCAACACGCCGGTTGACTCAGCCTCCCTGATCAGCTGCCGGCGCTTGGCCATCCTCCCCGCTGCGGCATAGCCTTCAATCACATTACAGTATATGTCTCTGGTCGGAACGAACCCAGCCTCCTTCAACCTCGAAAGGTACCGAAAAGTCCTTTCCAGATCATGCAATGCCACACACAGCTTCACAATGACCCGGTACGCCGGCAGGTCAAGAAGACAGTTTGCCTGCTCCATTTCCCAAACCAGGGCCAACGCCTCCCGGTGTCTCCCGTCACGGGAGCGGCTGTGGATCACTGTCGTGTACATCACCGCAGTTGGGTCCCTGCCAGACCCTCTGAACCAGCTGAACAGGCTCTCCACGGCTGCATACCGCCTGAGCTTTATGCAGACCTTCATCACAGCCGTGCACTCCTGCAATCGCAGGTCAAAGTCCGGCCTCTCACCGAGCTCGTCGAGCAGAGCAGCAGTGAGTCCGTAGCCTTCAGGTGTCCGGGCAACCTCCAGAATCAGCTTCGCATAGATGCTCGGGTGCAGTGTCCTCTTGTTCATCCTGGCAAGTTCAAGGAGCTTGCGTGCTAGGCCTACTTTGCCTGCCCTGATGAACCCACTCGCCATGGCTTCGAGGACAGCGCGGCTCGCCGAGGGGACGCACTCCTCAAGTGCGGACTCCATCTTCAGCTCGTCGAAGCGCGCCAAAACCTCGACGGTCGAAGCGAGGATCCGGTCATCAGGGAACAGAGGCACCGCCTTCTGCCCCTGTGCCCAACACAGCGTCTGGAGCGCCCTCTCGGGAAGTCCCATGTGCCCGAGCTCCCGGATGGTCATGGACAGGGAGCCTTTCCGGAGGAAGTGGACCCAACGGTCCAGCACTTTGCACACATCGGACTCCGGCGGGAGCGCGGCGATCTCCTTGGCAATCCCGACGAGGACCTCGGGGTTCTTGCGCACCTTGTCGCTGAACGAGGAGCGGGATGCCAGCCGGATGTGCT